AGTTTGCTTTTGGATATTCTTGGAGAAGCCCGGCTGCATGAGGCCTGAAGGCCGCTCAGAGACCAGATAGTTCAGTTCCCTCACTGTATAGTCAGAGAGTGTCAGGGGCTTGCCCAAGTTCATACAGCCAGCCAGCACCCCTTGTCAACCAGATAGGAGTCCTTGGACCTCTGTTAGGAGCTCTGCCTTTTCCTCTCTTGGGTTTGCTTGAAGATGATCCCTTGGCCAAGCATTTGATGCATGGAGCCTGGAGGAATAGAACAAAGGAAGCATGAATCTGTCATTTGTCACTTTTTCAGATCCTCAGTGGCTTTTTTGCTCTTAGGTAAAGACCAGAGCCCTTATCAGGCCCTGGAGGCCTGAAGGCTGGGCCCCTTCCTACCTCTAGCCTTGTTCTCTGGGTCACAGTCTTTTAATTCCTGGACTTTGTCACAGTCCTGCCTCGGGGCCTTTGCACATACCATTCCAGCTGCCTAGACCATCCTCCCCAACTTTATCTGCTTAACACCTACTTATCGTTGAGTCCTCAGCTCAAACCACACTTTCTCCGGAGAGCGCTCTGATGCCCCCAGGCTGGGTGGGCCCTTGGGAGTGCCTTCCGCGCACTAGGCACCTTCCTTCCCTGGTCTCTTGGCAGTTTGGGGTTATTTCCTTAATCTGCCTGTGTGTTTATGGTCGGTCTCTGCTGGGCTGTGAGCTCCATGAGAGCAGGGATCCAGCCGTCTCATTCTCTGCCGGGTCCCCGGTGCTGGCCCTTGCCCTGCACCGCTCACCTCCTCCCTCCCCCTTCTGTTGCCAGGCTTGTGCCTCTTCCCATTCCCTGTGCTCCAACCTGAGCAGCACCTGGAGCCTCAGCGAGTTCCCCCCGCTGCTGGGAGGCCCGGAAGCAGCTGGGGAAGCAGCCGTCATGGGGGGATCTGAGCCCCACACCTCGGTAAGACACCTGCCCTCCCTGAGCGTGTCGGGGGTGGGGTGCGGATGCTGACAGCATTCGTGTAATGTCATTACCGACCTGTGGGTGCTTTCCAGTTCGCCGACAGTCCCATTTCTCATGTGAGGACACCGAGGCCCATGAAGGCCAAGTCCCCTACTTAAGCTCGCCCAGAGCCAGCTCCGCGCTAGGCCTGGGTGCCAGGAGCCACGGGATCCCCACTGTACTCGTGCAGAGCCCACGCCTCCACCCCGGGCCCTACTTGTCATCTGGGGAATGGACACAAAGTAGGTGCGTTGAGGTGGGGGAGGCAGATCGGAGGTGACCCAGGCCCTGTCGTGGCGTTGGCAGGAGGAGGCCACAGATAGCGAGAAGGAGATCAATCGGCTCTCCATCCTGCCCTTCCCCCCGAGCGCCGGTTCCATCCTCCGCCGGCAGCGTGAGGAGGACCCCGCACCCCCTAAGAGGTAAGCAGGATGGGGAGACAGCAGTAGAGGCTCAGGGAGATGCTGTTGCCGTTTCTGAAAACAGCCACGTCCCAGAATCCCTAGCGCCAGCACCAGCATCGGAGCTAGGTGGGCACCTCCCCTTACCGCCTTTAAATGGCCGGGGCTCCGGGGACCCGGGTC